AAAAGTATTTAATTAACCTTACCCGGGTATATCGGGTAGGATTTTATACCCGGATATATCTGTTGATCACCCGGGTATACCCGTCAGATAACCGGGTAGCATTTTTTCGATCGGGTACCATCACTAAAACTATGTGATTCTTACGCTTCTCTTAAAAAAATACCAAGAGTTAAACATATAAACTTTCCTATCATTATTTCGCGAATCTTTCGAGACCGCATTAAATTAAATTACATCTGGAATTTCCACGCTATCTATCGGGTTGCTAACAGATGCCATCTCTAACGATCTTTGAGCGATCTCTCGCGTATTTTCCAATAGTCTTTGAGTAATCTCTTTCCTATTGATGAGTTTACACGTATACATTTGATCTGGATGTCTTTGCTTGACAATCGAAATTTCATCGGAATGTAAAGACTAATCCTCTTCATCGGAATGTAAAGATTAATTCTCTTAATCGGAATGTGAAGATTGAACCTCTTCATCGAATATAATTCATTAATCCAAGCATTAGTATTATGCATCATTTCATCGGCATGTAAAAATTTATACTCTTTATTGAAATGCATTTCAGTAATCCAAGTTTCAAAAAAGACATAATTTTTTTGGCATCAGGTCTTTATTAGGATCATAATCCATACATTTATTGGCTAATTCGACATAACATTTGGGAGTTTCTGAAGCAAACTCGGGTCGCAAACCGAAGCAAATCCTTATTGCAAATTCAGTATCAAACGGTTCACCATCGAAAGGTCTTTTTCCAGTTGTTATGTCGGTCATGATAATTCCAAAGCTGTAAATGTCCGCTTCTTTCGTAAACGGTTTTCCATGCAAGACCTCTGGAGCGACATATGGCAAGACCCCAAAAAATTTTGTCTTCTTCTTCTTCTGAAGTTGAATCGAAAGACCCAAGTCTGTAATATACGCATTGTATAATGCATTTTGTAAAACATTACCACTATGCAAATTTCGATAAACTAGATTTCGAGAATGAATTGCTTGAAGATCAGAAGAAATGAATTTTAATAAACGTAGTTTATCTGGCCAAGGTAATCGCGATACTGCAGGAAGATTTTTACATAGAGAACCCATAATTGCATAATCCAGGACAAGAATATAAATCCCATTAACATCCATTGAAATACCATGGCATTTAAAAAATAAAGGATTTTCTTTTCTAATTTGGCAATAAGCCAGCAACTATTATATAAAATATATATTTAATTAATATTAATATTAATATTTATTATTTAATAAATTGGTTCCGATTAACTCACCTGCAAAGAAATTCACAGACAACCTAGTTCACGTACAATTAATTTCATACAATTAATTCTACAATTTACAGTCAAAGTCATCTTACAGAGGATTAATTCACTGGCAAGTTTATTTCATAGGCAGCTCATTTCACAGACAAAGTAATTCTAACCATTATCGTGTAAATAACATTTTCAAATGAATTGTTTGTGAAATAAAACGATTTGTGGTGAAATAATACGGGTCCTTAATGGATTACCTCATTAAAAAACTATGAACTCCCAATTGTGCTCCATGAAAGGATTTCAATGCAACAACTGATTTCCATTGAGCATAATATATAGTTCGAATCCCCCTTTTCCTATCTCATTAATATTTTGGAATTCACTATAGGATATCCATGTCATTTGATACTTATTTTTAAGTTTATTTATTCCATCAGAATTACATATTGCTGCAGATTTTATAAAATACTCTAAGGATTTACATTCGTCCTTCTCAACTACAATACCTTTTTCATAGCAGCATCCACATTAAATGCTCCAATATCGTGTCCCATCTTTGCTGATTTTTGGTAATAAGTAAATGCCTTATGTCCATCCTTTTCAACTCCGATTCCTTTATCATAATGATATCCAATATGATATGCTTCTCCAGCGTACCACGCATCTGCAATTTTTTGGACATATAAATTTTTTGAAATGTTCTATCAGCATAATTGTCATGAAAACGATAATGATTTTCAATATATGCTTCTCCAGCGTACCACGTCTCTGCACTATCATAATCATCTTCAATTCTAAAAACGTCTTGATAAATAGATGCCTCTCTTTCGCTCCTGGCTCCATTAAATATTCTATCACCATAATAATCTATCAATGCAATATCGTCATAACATTTAAATATTCCAATGACAAATTATTTCCTCGATATAATTTTCTCACTATGGATTTTCCGGCACAAAGTTTTATATCTTCGTATGGAAGATCATCTAATTCTTTTGGATTAATTTTAATTGCTTTCAGGTGATT